ACGCTGATAGCGATAGTACTGATGATGATGAGCATTCTTATCTTTCCGATGATGATGACGATGATGCTGATGGTGATGATGATGATGACGGTAATGATGACGACCATGATGCTGGTGCCGATGAAGATGGTGGTGATGGTGCTGATGATGATGCTGATGCTGATAGTGATGATAATGATGACGATGCTCATGATTATCATCATAATGATGATAATGATAATGATGATGCTGCTGCTGATGATGATGCTGATGACGATAATGAGGATGCTGTCGATGACGACGATGGTGATGATGATGGTGATGACGACGATGACTATGATGATGATAATGCTGATGATGATAATGATGATGATGATGATGATGGTGATGATGGTGATGGTGGTGGTGATGATGATGCTGATGGTAATGATGGTGATGATGGTGATGATGATGCTGATGATGATGGTGATGATAATGATGATGATGATGATGATGATGATGATGATGATGATGATGGTGGTGGTGGTGATGATGATGATGATGGTGATGCCGCCGACGACGACGACGATGACGATGATGACGACGAAGAAGAGAGGGATGAGGCGGAGGAGGAGGATGATGGCTAGGAGGAGGAGGAGGAGGAGGAGGATGAGGAGAAGGAGCACTTGGAGGAGGAGGAGGAGGATGAGGAGGAGGAGCAGTTGGATGGCTAGGAGGAGGAGGAGGAGGAGGAGGAGGAGGAGGAGGAGGAGGAGGAGGAGGAGGGGGAGGAGGAGGTGCGTCCTCCCTTGCCGCGGGAAGCGGCGGGGGGCCATTCGGCTGCCCCCGGGCCGCAAGGAGGAAGAGCGGGAGGACAGTGACGAGGAGCGGGAGCGGGGGCGTTAAGGGGAAGAGGAAGAAGGGTAGAGGAAGGGGGAGAAGGAGCAGTGGGCGAAGGGGAAGGGGAGGGGAGAGGGGAAGAGAGGGAGGACGGGGAAGGGGGAAGGATGGGGAAGGAAGAGGGGGACGAGGCGGAACGGGGGCGAGAAGAGGGAGCAGCTGGACTCGTCAGATCGGCGTGCGGTGGAAGCAAAAGCAGCAGCAGCATAAGGAGCAGCAGGGACAGGACGAGGTTTGTGGGGGGGGCGGGGGAGGATGTCTGGGGTCTGTGTTGGCGTAAGTGGCCAGTGGCCAGTGCTGATGCCATACCATCCCTCACCCCTCCCCCTGCATGCGTGGTCAGCAGCGCGACAGCTGCCTCGATCGCGGCCGAAGGGTTGAGCGCAAGTGTGGGCGATGAGGCGGTCAAGTGATGAGGCGAGGGGCTTCCTCCTCTTCCATCCCTGGTCCTTTCATATGACTCCTCCCTGTCGCACACCCAGCCGTGTATGTAGGGCGGGTCGGGTACTTCGCCTGAGACTTCCTCGCCACGTTTGATCCCGGAGCTTGACATGTGCACCAGCTCACGGATGGAACGCGGGTCGTTTTCAAAATGTGGTTCATCCTTTAGCACCGCGCGCAATCGTTTCAACAGACGGTATTACATTCAAGGATGGAGGGCGGCGGTTTTAAAACAGGCGATTGTCGCTGTAGCGTCGTGCACATTCGTCTTGGAAGTTTGCAACAGCTTCGAGTATGGAGGGCGGCTGGTATTCAAAATGCGGCTCTAGCTACAGCGCCGCGCACATGTTTTGGAAAGTCTGCAACAGCTTCAAGGACGGAGGGTGGTTACTTAAACGCCGCACGCATTCCTTTCGAAATCGTACAACAGCTTCAAGGACTCGTATAGGGGAAGTCCCAGGAACGGCGTTCTGGTACGACTTTGGATTGTCAGGATGCAGCCGATACGTTGATCCGCGGTGTCGAAGTCCCAGGAATGGTATCCTGGCAAGGTTTAGGATTGTCAGGACGCAACAGTCAGGGAGCTTGGAGGAAGGGTTTACTGCAACATCGTTGATGCGTCTTGGGGTTACACTGGTGTCCCTCCTGCTCCTCCATCCCCCCGCCTTCCTTATACGTCATCCATTATTATAATTATTCCTCCTCCTCTTTCTCTCGCGTTTATCTTCCTCCCGCCTTCCTCCTTGTCATCTGGCCTTTCTCTTGCTCTTCACCCACCTCCGGCCTCCTCCTGATCCTCCTCTTCCTCCTCCATTATCTTTCCGTATCTAGCTCCTTTATGTCGCACCCAAGACGTGTCGGTAGCACGTGTCGGGCGTTTCGCCTAGGACGTACTCACCATTTGTGATCTTGAAGCCCTGAAGTCTGCAAAAGCTTCAAGGATGGAGGGCGGGCCGTTTTCAACCTGCTGCTTTTGCTTTAGCGCTGCGCGCGTTTAGTCTTCAAGTGTGTACAAGCATCAAGGATGGGGTGGAGAGCGGCTGGTTTTAAAAATGTGGTTCGCGCTTTAGCGCCGCGCACATATTTCTTGAACGCTTGCAGCAGCCTCAAAGATGGAGGGCGGGTCTTGTTCGAACTGTTTTTTTTTCGGTTTAGTGCGGCGCACGTTCGATTTGAAACTTAGCAGCCGTTTCAAAGACTTGTTCGGTGGAGATCCCAGGAGTGGCGCTCGGGTGCAAGTCAGGCATTTCAAGACGCGACAGTCACATTGATTCGCAGCGCTGACGTCGCAGGAATGGTGTCCTGGCACGATGGTGCATTCTCAGACGGTTGTCTTCTAAAGGGGTATTTCCCGCAGTAGAATTGGCGAACTGGTGGGCGCCCATGAGAAGAGTACTTGGAGGGAGGGTTTACTGCAACATCGTTGACGCGTCTTTGGGTGAACAGTGAAGAGTGGTCCTCCTATGTCCTCCTCCTCCTCCTCCCCTCCTCCCCCTCCTCGTTCCCCCTCCTCTTCCTCCTCCTCCCTCCCCTCCTCCTCCTCTCCTCCTCCTCCCTCCTCCTCCTCCTCCTCGTTCCTCCTCCTCCTCCTCCTCGTTCCTCCTCCTCCTCCTCCCGTTCCTCCTCCTCCTCCTCCTCTTTCCTTCCTCCTCCTCCTCCTCGTTCCTCCTCCTCCTCCTCCTCCTCCTCCTCCTCCTCCTCCTCGTTCCTCCTCCTCCTCCTCCTCCTCCTCCTCCTCCTCCTCCTCCTCCTCCTCTCTGCTCCTCCTCCTCATCCTCCTTCTCCTCCTCCCCCTCCTCCCCCTCCTCCTCCTCCTCCTCCTCCTCCTCCTCCTCCTCCTCCTCGTTCCTCTCCTCCTCCTCCTCCTCCTCCTCCTCCTCCTCCTCCTCCTCCTCCTCCGCCGTGGCAGTCATTTTGGCTCAAGGGGGGGGGCTGGCCGCGGACCTCTGCCGCGCGCGCCCCACGCGCGAGCGGCGGATGGATGTCGGCGGCGAGCCCGGGGGGAAAGCGAGATGGGGCGGGCCTTCTCAGGAGAAGGAGGAGGAGGAGGAGGAGGGGGAGAGGAGGAGGAGGAGGAGGCGGAGAAGGAGGAGGAGGAGGAGGAGGAGGGAGAGGAGGAGGGAGGAGGAAGGAGCGAGGAGGAGCGGAGGAGGAGGAGGAGGAGGAGGAGGAGGAGGAGGAGGTAGAGGAGGCGGAGGAGGAGGAGGAGGAGAGGAGGAGGAGGAGGAGAGTAGGAGGAGATGAGGAGGGAGGAGGGGATGGAAGGAGGAGGAGGAGGAGAGGAGGAGAGGAGGAGGAGGAGGGGAGGACGAGGAGGGAGGAGAGAGGAGGAGGGGGAGGGGGAGGGGGATGATGATGATGATGATGATGATGATGATGATGATGATGATGATGATGATGGATGATGTGGAGGAGGAGAGGAGGAGGAGGAGGAGGAGGAGGAGGAGGAGGAGGAGGAGGAGGAGGAGGAGGAGGAGGAGGAGGAGGAGGGGAGGAGGAGAGGGAGGGGAGGAGGAGGGAGGAGGAGGAGGAGGAAGGAGAGGAGGAGGAGGAGGGCGAGGAGGAGGAGGAGGAGAGGAGAGGAGGAGAAGGGAGGAGGGAGGAGGAGCGAGGAGGAGCGAGGAGGAGGAGGAGGATGAGGAGGAGGAAGAGGAGGAGGAGGAAGGAGGTAGGAGGAAGGAGGAGGAGGAGGAGGTGAGGGTTTTTGAGAGCATTGTGGTGAATTTTCTCGGCCTGGCGCGCATGGACTATCCTCACACGCCTGACGCCAATGGACACCCGTCCTAAAGGTGGACGGGTGCTGGGGTCGCGGCAGCACGAGGAGGAGGAGGAGGAGGATGAGGTGGAGGCGAGGAGGATGAGGAGGAGGGGAGGGAGGAGGAGAACGAGGGGGAGAACGAGGAGGAAAGAGAGGAGGAGGAGGAGGAATCGGAGCCCCCAGGCCTCCCGAGACGGGAACAAAGCCTTCTCGAAGGCGCGGGGCCTTTCGGGAGCGCCCCGCCGCCCTCCGAGAAGGCCTTTTCTGACTCATCCTAATCCCACCTCCCCTATGCATAATCCGTCCTCATCGCTAATACACCTCCTCCTCCTCCTAGTACTGCACTGCTTAACTCATACTACTTCATAATCTCCTAACATCCTCTCCTCCGCCTCCATACCTCCCCTCTTCCTCTATTACTCCTCCTCCTCCTCCTCTCCTGCTCCTCCTCCTCCTCCTACTTATACTCTCCTCCCTCCTCCTCCTCCTCCTCCTCCTCCTCTTCCTCCTTCTGAGAAGGCCTTCTCCCGCCTCCGGCCGCGCACCCCTGGGGCGGGAGGGGGTACAGCACACCCCAGCGTGAGGGCTAAGAGAGCCCTGCGGTACGAAAGCGGACCTCCCTCCAGGCGCTCTCTTAGAAAGGCAGTCCCTGGTCCAGATCTACGAACGCTGCACGAAGGAACGAGGCCCCCAGGAAACGCCCAGGGTCCAGCCCAGATCCCTGAGTCTCTTCCGCGACACATGGAACCCATGGACGTTGCTGCTCCTGCATTACGAACAGGGACCTCCCTCCACGCGTGTTGTTTTCCGGCGCCGCGGTCTCGATCCGCGAAATTGATGGCGCCTCGCTGTGCGAAGACAACAAAAACACATCCCTCCACGCGCTTTCTCCTCCCGAGGTGGCCCAGCTCCCTCCCCCCCCCCCCCTCGCTCGCCGCCGAGGATGGCCTCGCCCGACCTCGGCACCTCGGCCACTAGGGCCCACGGCGGCGCCGCGAGGCCGCCCCGACCCGCCGCCCCCGCGCAGGCCGCCGCCGCGGAGGCGAGGCCCGCCGGCCGCCGCGCGGGGCCGCGGCAGGGCGGCGGGCAGCGGCTCGGCGCCGCCGCCGAGCGGCCGCGGGAGCACCGGCGCGGCCCCGGCAGGGGGGTCCGGGCACAGGAGCACACGCGGGGGCCCGCACAAATGATCGCGTCGCAACAGAAGCAGGAGGGGCGGTTTGGGGCCATTTTCGGCCCTGGGGAGCCCTCGCCGGGCCTCGGGACCGTCAAGAAACGACGCATGGACGAAAAACTGGCCCCGGGGAAAGGGTCGGCACTTCCAGGGCCGCCGTCCTGAAAGCATCAGGACGTCGCGTGTCTGGGAGAGTGACCCTTCGCTGGAGTGGCCTGTGGTGCGGGCCATTGGGGCCCCCCGGTCGCCGAAGGCGACGCGATAGTATGTCGCGTCCTGCGCGCTCGTGTGTGGGTTGTCCCCGCGCGGCCACCAGAAAGCCGAGGGTCACTCTTGAGTGTGGCCGATCGGGGGCGGCTAAGAGGTGGGTGATGACCGGGGGGGAGGGTCGGGGGCATGACATCTCCCCGGATTTCCTGGCGCGTCTTCTTCTTCTTTTTCTTCTTCTTATTCTTATTATGTTTTGTCTTCTTCTTCTTCTTCTTCTTCATCCTCCTTCCATGGGTCCCTGCCCCCCCCCCCCCCTCTCTGTGGGCCGCGCACATGCCGCTGGACATGATTTGCGCCCCCCCCCCTCTTGGACGCCCCGCTCTGGGCTCAGAGGAGGAAAAGGTACCCACACAACCTCTACCCCTCGCCCGTTTTCCTCTTTTGGGGCCTCCTGGGAGGCCCTCGTCGCCACCGCTGGATTCGCCTCGGAATCCTGGTCAGAACGCACCCCGCCGGGGAGAGGTCTGGGGAGTAGCGGTATAGGTACCTTTTGGTTTCCCCAGGAGCATGCAGATGCTCCCACGTGTAGAAGGAAGGGTTGCCAGATGGGCGTTGCCGACTACGACCCGAACCTCATCATCGCGTACAAGTGCGATCTCTGCGGGAAGAGCAACACCATCTCCTGGCGATGCGAGGCCTGCGACCACGACATCTGCTTCGAGTGCCATCCTGGGCCGATGACCCACGATCAGGCGGACGCGCCCCGCCTCAAGCGGCGCAAGAGGGAGCTCGTGGAAGCGGCGGCCTCGGCCGGGGCCGAGGAGGAGCAGGCGGCCGAGGAGGAGCAGATCCAGGTGCCCTCGTCGGACACGACACCGCCGCCCAGGACGTCCAAGGAAGAGGCCTCCACCACGCCGCCGACCACCGCGCACCTCGGCCGCGTGGAGGTGGAGGACTCGCCCAGGCGGCTGCAGGGCGCCCCGCGCATAGCGAGCCGACGGCCCCCCGACGACGCCCCGGGTCGGAGGGCGCTGCTGCCCTGGGGCGCCCTCGACATCTACGTGGGCCCCATGGCGCAGTACCAGCCGGCTTGGGGACCCGCGCCCGCCGCGGGCGGCGGGGCGCTGCTGGAGGTGCTTGCCATGCCGCTGCACCTGGCCACCGAGGAGCTGAGGAAGACCAGCGAGGGGATCTTGCACGCCGCGTGGCGCGACGACGACGTGTCGAAGCAGACCATCAGCAGCCACCTGGGCCTCCAGCTGAACGGCATGCGCCTCCGGAACGGCAAGCAGACCTCCCGCTGCTCCAGCGTGGCCCGGGGGGGCAGGGTCGACAAGTGGCTCGTCTGGGAGCGGACGGCGGGCGCACCGGCGCCCTCGGCCTCCAGCGGCAGGATGGTCGGCGCGCTGCTCCTCCGGCGACAGGTGCCCAAGGACCACCGGAGCAAGGGGGCCATCAGCATCGACTACGTGTCCGCGCAGCGTAGCGCTGGCGGGAAGGGCTGGCCGATGGTGCAGGCCGCGGAGGCCATTTGCCGCGGCGAGGGATTTCGAGATCTGTGGAGTGCGGCGGACTTGTCGCAGGACGGCGGCGCCAACTGGGACGGCAAGCGGGACGGGTCGGCGTTGGCGGCGCACAGGCGCTGGGGGTTCTCGGCCAGCAGCGCCGCGGAATGGAAGGCCACCGGCCTCGAGCTCTACGACGAGCAGAGGTGCCGCGTCGCCTACATGCGGAAGGCGCTGCACCCATGGGCCGATGCTCCCGCCGCGCTGGGCGAGCCCCTGGGCTCCGAACCGAGGAGGGGGAGGAGGAGGAGGAGGAGGAGGAGGAGGAGGAGGAGGAGGAGGAGGAGGAGGAGGAGGAGGAGGAGGAGGAGCAGGAGGGGGCGGCGAGGCTGCGAGCAGCCGCGGGCGCGAGCGGCCGCGGCGCCGTCGGACCCCGCGGCCGGCTCCAGGCAGGTGCCGCCCCGGGTGGCTGGCGCCGTCGCCGCCGCCTCCCCGGGCGCCCCCCCCGCGGCGCCCTCGCCAGCGGGGGTGGCGTCGCCGCGGGCGCCCTCCACGGCGGGCGTGTCGCCGCGCTCAGCCACGGGGGTGGCCACGCCGCTGGCGCCCGCGGTTGGCGTGGCGTCCCCCCGCGCCGCCGGCGGGCTGGCCACGCCCTTCGGGGCCGCAGGGCCGGCGGCGCCGGGGCAGGCACGCTCTCCAGCCACGGCGCTGCTCTCGTCGGCGGCTCGGGCGGCGACGGCGGTCGGGGCTGAAGGGACGGGGGCCCATTGGGCAAACAGGGGTCAGCCAGAGCGCCGGATCTTGCAGGATCCTGCCAGGCCAGGGGTGCACTGACATGCACTGACCCAGGCTTGCGCGCAGGATCCTGCAGGACCCAAGCCTGACTGGCCTGGGTTTGCATCGACCCGGTCAGTAGATCCCTGAGGCGGGCTCCCCCGCCGCCAGGGTGCCACCCCTGGCTTCGGGGGGGGAGGCTGGCGGCCAGCCACGGGCCGAGCCCTACGAGGAGAGGCTGCAGAAGGAGATCGAGCGGTGCCGCAAGCTGCAGGAGATCGACCAGTTCCTGGAGGAGCTGCAGCACCAGGAGCAGGCGCAGCACGAGCAGGCACTGGCGGCGGGGCCGGCGCGAGCGCCCAGCCAGCGGGAGGGCACCCTCCAAAACTTGCGCGCCTTGCTCGGCGTGAGGCGCCCCTAGGGCATCGCCTGACGGCCGGGAAGCGGCGCTGGCCAGCACAGCCCGGCGCTGCTTTACGGCGTGGCCGGTGGAAGCTTCCTCCTCCCTGTCCTCTGCAGTTGCACTCGTTCGCCAGCGCGGACCCCAAGCACAGTGTCTTCTAGCATGCCGGGTGATGCGATCTGCATGGTGCAAGCCATGTGGTGCAATGTGGCGGAAGCTGTGTGGTGCAATATACGTGGTGCAAGTGATATGGTGTAAACTATGTGGTGCATGCTATGAGGCATGTGGTGCAATATATGTGGTAGGACCTAACGTGCTGATCTATGTGTTGTGAGCTATGTGGTGTAATCTATGTGGTGCCACCTATCTGGTGCGATCTGTAGGGTGTGCGTTATGTAGTGCAATCCATGTGATGCGGTCCATGTGGTATGAGCAACACGGGGGAATCGAACTGGAGCAGTACATGCAGTGCAGTATATGTGGTGAGAGATGTATAGCTCGCACCACACATACTGCACCCCTATAGCAGCGTTTCAACGTAAGCAGTGCAATATATGTGGTGTGAGCCATGTGGTACACGCTATATGGTGCAAATAATGTGGTGTAAGCTACGTGGCGCAAGCTATGTGGCGCAATACATGGAGTGCAATACGTGGTGTGAGATCCGTGGTGTATGGTACGTAGTGCAGTATATGTTGTGCAACCTATGTGGTGTCAGCTATGTGGTGGAATCGATGTGGTGCGATAGATAAAAAAGCAATGCAAACGAATGCAAAGCAATGCTACGCAAAGTAATGCCAAGCAGTGCAATGCAACGCAATGCAAAGCAATGCAATGTAGAGTAATGCTAAACAATACCAAGCAATACGAAGCAATGCAAAGCCACGCAATGCGACGCAAACAACTGCAAAATAGTGCGACGCCATGCGAAGCCATGCGCAGCAGTGCAAAGCAAGACACAGAAATACAAAGCAGTGCAAAGAGGTGCAATGCAGAGCAGCGCAAAGCAGTGCAGCGCAATCGACGGCGATGCGAAACCATGCGAAGCAACGCAATGCGATGCGAACAAGTGTGAGTCCAAGCAACGCAAACCAATGCAAAGCGCAAGCCTCGCGCAATCGAGATCGTGACCAACTTGGTGCGGCGACGGACGACGGCGACGGGCGGCCACGCACGGTCCCAGCTGCTGGCCTCGCATAGGCAGAATCGTGACTGCAGTGGTGCGGCCACGGGCGCCGGCGACGGGCGTTGTCGGGCGGCTGCAAGGCGGCGGAACCGGCAACCAGGCCCAGTTCCTCATGAGACGTGTGGGAACCCCTGAGTGCAGGCACTGTTCGGGGAGCTCCGAATACTACTCTCCTCTCTCCTCGAACTCCGTCCGGAAGATATCCAGCCGGCCTTCTCCGCCTAGTGTGTGTGTGTGTGTGGAAAAAGGTGGTCTTTCCCATGGTTTGTTTTATAATCCCAGTGTGTTCGGTGTTTCGAGGTGGTGTTCCCGCTGCAGCGTGGGCCTCATTTTAGGATTGGCGCGCTGCTCCCGTCGTTCAGAGTGGCGCTCACGCCCCAGCGTGCGCTACGTTTCTGGATCCGAGTTCTCCCTCATCGTCGTCCCCCCCCTCCTTTCAGACACACTGCATGCATCGTGTATTGCATGTTGCTCAGATACACCAGATTCCTGAGGTCACGGCCTTGCCCACCTGGTTTAAGCTAGGCCCGGACGGTGTTCGCAGCGGTGGTGGTTCGTTCGTTCGTTCGTACCCCCCTCCTTTCCCCTCCACCTTTCCCCGGTCGTCCTGCTCCTCCTGCTCCTTCCGCCGACCCCTCGGTCCTCCTGCTCCTCCAGCTCCCTCCACTCCAGTTCCTGCGGCTGCTGCTGGTCGTCCTCGTTACCCTTCCTCGTCCTCCTCCCGTTCCTCCTGCTCGTCCTCCTCGGTCACCCGCCGCCTCCTCCCATGTGCGCACAGCTCGATGGGGTCTTTCTGTTGGGGGGGAGTTCAAGGTCGGCTATGGCACGCGTCCGCGGATAGAGAAATCATCAGCGCAATAGGGAGAGATGGGAGGGAGGGAGGGAGGATGAGAGAGGGAGGGAGGGAGGGAGGGAAGGGAGGCGGAGGAGGAGGAGGGGGAGAATGAGGAGGAGGAGGAGGAGGAGGAGGAGGAGGAGGAGGAGGAGGATAACGAGGAGGATAACGAGGAGGAGGAGGAGGAGGATAACGAGGAGGAGGAGGAGGAGGAGGAGGAGGAGGAGGATATGGCACGAGCGCACCTCGCCTGCCTCAACCCCCTTTCCTGACTCCTGCGTCCTCTTGCCTTACTCCTCCTCCTGCTCCTCCCTCCTGCCTCTTCGTTCTCGCCCTCCCTCATGCCTCCTCCACCTCCTCCTCCTTCATCCTCCTCCCTCCCCTCCCTCTGTCCCCAGGAGGAGGACGAGACCGCGACGACGATGCCGCCGACGACGACGGACGACTGCGGATGGCTGACGACTGTGACGCAGACGGACGGCGAACGACGGACGATTGACGAAGACTGACGAAGGACGACTTACGACGACGATGCGTAGCCTTCTTCCGTCCCGCCTTCCATCTTCCATTCATGATTACATATATAATTATCCTCCTCCCTCCTCTTCGCCGCTTCCTCCCTCCCTCCGTCGCCCTCATTTATCCTCCTCCCCGCTCCGCGCTTCTGGTCCGCATCCTTCATTCCTCCTCCTCCTCCTCCTCCTCCTCCTCACATCTCCTGCTCCCCCCTCCACCTCCTTCCCCTGGTCCATCCTTCCTGTTCCCCTCCTTCTCCCCTCCTTCTCCCCGCTCCTCCTCCTCCTCCTCCTCCTCCTCCTCCTCCTCCTCCTCCTCCTCCCCTCTTTCCCCGCATCCTTTCTCCTTCCCCTCGTCTCTCCCGGCTACGCAGTCCGTACGTGCAGAATCGTCGGGTACCCCATGCAGGATGGATCGGCTTTGACGAGCAGTCGGGGGATGACCATAGCAGAAGGAGGAGGGGGGGTGGACCAGCTTCCGCCCAGAAGGTGTACGAAAGGAAAGAAGAGGATGAGAAGGAGGAGGATCATAAGGCGGAGGAGGAGGAGGAGGAGGAGGAGGAGTTCGAGGATGATGAGCAGAACATGAGGAGGAGGAGGAGGAGGAGGAGGAGGAGGAGAAGGAGGAGGAGGAGGAGGAGGAGGAGGATCATGAGGAGGAGGAGGAGGAAGAGGAGGAGGAGAAGGAGGAGAAGCAAGAGAAGCAGAAAGGGGGGGCAGCCCGGCACACCCCTCGGCGAGGCTGTTCCTCCGGCCGTCCTTCGCTGACTTCGAGCAGATCGAGCTGCGGCGCTGCCGCGGGGCGGGCGAGCGCCGCGTGCAGTTCGCCACGCGCATGCTGGTACCGCCAGGCGTGCGCGTCCCCCTGGGGGGCAGCGGCGGTGGCTTTTTTCGTTTGCTCCCTGCGCGCCCTCCTTCACGGCCTCCCTGACCCTGTCTCCCCGCTCCTCCTCCTCCTCCTCCTCCTCCTTCTCCCACTCCTCCTCCTCCTCCTCCTCCTCCTCCTCATCCTCTTCCTCTTCCTCATCCTCATCCTCATCCTCCTCCATCTTTATCCTTGATGGACAACTCCTCTCTGTTGCGCCCCCAGACGTGTTGCATCTCTAGGCCGGGCGTTTCGCCTGAGACTTGTTCACCATCTACGATCCTGAAGCCTGGAATGTACAACAGTTTTGCGGATGGAGGGTGGGTCCTTCATGTGGTTATCGCTTTAGCGCTTCCCGCATTTGGTTTTTAATTCAAATGTTAGCCAGCGTGGACCCAAACAATGTGTTTCTAGCGATCGGTGTTGCGTAATATATGTTGTGCAGTATGTGTGGTACTATCTATGCGGTGCATCTTATGTGGTACAATTCATATGGTGCAATTGATTTCGGTTCGCAGTGAGTTGTCCACTCCACTGCTCGTGCAATCATCCCACCCACCCGCCCGCAACTTGGATTGCAAACCCATGCGGCGGCGATTTCGATGAGTGCTTTGAATTGGCCGGTGCATCTTTGCGGCCGCGCTAGCCCGCGCATGCTCGCGCGCGCAGTGGACAGATAGTTTGGCGCTACCGACGCAATGGCGGTGGCGCTGACCGCTGGGCACTTCCCAGCGGGTAGTTCAATATAAGTTTGTGACTTGGGCGGGCGCGGTATCATGGCGACGTCGACAACGGTAGACGCGATGATGATGGCGCGATGCTGGTGACGATGGTGGCAACGACGACGGCAAGGCCAGTGATGGTGCCGATGCTGATCACGCCGACGACGATGACGGCGCCCTCGCGTAGGCGATGGCTGTTTTGGAGGGAGTCCGGCATGCGCGCGCAGCCGACGCGCGAGAGTGGGTCGCATGGTTTCATTTGATAGGGAACGTGCCCCCCCCCCGCCCACCACGCGCGCAAGGGCGTTTGAACGGTTTCGACGTGCAGCGCGAGGGGCCAATTTGGCCGAAATTAATGGACATGCTGAAACTCATGATTCTCCTAAGAAGGCGCACGAGCGCGAGCGCAGGCATGCTTGAACATTATTGTCGCAAAGCCATATGCTTTGTTTTCGTAAGTCACCGGGGCACTCGATTTTGAAATCTTTACGAAACACAGGGTTGTTGAAGGATTTCGGCATGCGCGCGACGACGCGTGCGCGTGCACCACGCCCTTGCGCGCGGGGGGGCACGATCAGTATCAAAGCACACCATGCGGTTACTCTCGCGCTTCGGCCGCGCGCGCATGTCCAAATCTTTCCAAGAACTTCATCACCGACGCGAGGACGCCGTCATCATCGTCGGCGTGATCAGCATCGGCGCCGTCATTGGCCTTGCCGTCGTCGTTGTCAACATCGTCACCATCGCTACTAGCATCATCGCGTCTACCGTCGTCGACGTTGCCATGATACCGCGCACCGACTCGCACTGAAGTGCCCGCTGGGAAGTGCCCAGCGGTCAGCGCCGCCGCGGCCGCGTCGGCCGCGCCAAACCAGCTGGCCGCTGAGATCCGCTG